TTTACCGATCACCGACCTCTCTTAGGGATTTTCAACAACCCTAGGTCTATGTACACCACCAGCTCAGATAGAACGCTGGGTGTTGCGGCTTCAACAGTATGATATGATGCTACAGTACCGTCCAGGCAAGGATAACCCAGCAGACTTTACAAGCCGACATCCTGGGAACAGTGCCGTGCAGACAGAATCGGTGAAGAGTACATTAACTTCCTGGCACAGGCAAGCACTCCTATTGCCTTGACCCTTGATGGGATCAGAGCAGCAACTGCTGGTGATAAGGAAATGCAAGATGTCATGAAGGCCATCAGATCAGATCGGTGGTCACAAGAGATCTCACAATACTAGAAGGTCAGAGGGGAGCTGTCGGTTACAGCCGACCAAAGCCTAGTCCTCAGAGGACGACGCATGGTTCTCCCACAGTCATTGTGAAAGAGAGCAATAGAGCTTTATCAAGAAGGCCACCAGGGACTAGTTAAATTTAAGCAATTGCTCAGAGCGAAGGTGTGGTTTCCTAATGTGGACAAGCTAATGGCGGACCAAATAGAAAGATGCATAGCATGCCAGAGTAATATCACAACACCCCAGACTACGGTCCCTCTACAAATGACAGACTTACCGGATTACCCATGGCAGTCTGTCAGCGTTGAATTCTATGGTGAGCTACCATCAGGGAAACATCTTATAGTTCTGATAGATGATTTCTCCAGGTATCCAGTTGTTGAGATCATACATTCACTCACGGCTACGACTGTCCTTGACAGAGTGTTTTCTCAGTTCGGAACCCCAGAAAGGTTGAGGTCCGATAACGACCCTCCCTTCAACAGTCAAGACTTTGCAGACTTCACTAAATATCTTGGTATAAAACACCATCGTGTAACTTCTTTGTGGCCACAGGCCAACGGGGAGGTAGAGAGGTTTATGCGGAACTTAGGAAAGGTGACCAGAGCCGCAGCTGTTGAACATAAATCATGGAAACAGGAACTGTTCAAATACCTAAGAAATTGTCGTGCTACACCACACTCGACAACAGGAGTCCCACCAGCAACAGTTATGTTCGGACGTGACATTCGCATCAAGCTCCCATCAGTTGATGATGGAAAGGGCACCCTGGACAAAATCAACAGTGAAATCAGATCGAGAGATAGGGCTGCCAAAGCAAGGATGAAATCTTACTCGGACTCTAAACGGAGAGCGAAGGACTCCAATCTACACGTTGGAGACACTGTACTTGTGAGACAGAAGAAAATCAACAAGCTGACACCTACTTACAGTACCAAACATATGACTGTGATAACTGTCTAAGGAACAAAGGTGACAGCAGAGTGTGATGGACATCGTATAACACGAAACGCATCCTTCTTCAAAAAATTTCTTGGGGAGAAGGTAAAGGGGTCAGGGGACTAACAGTAATAAAAGACTCGTTCGTGATCTGGACTATGGCGAAGTGGACATTGTAGATCCAGTTGCTCATAATGATCCAGCTCCGGTTGAGAATCAGCTTGCTCCAGTTAGACCTCAGCGCAGAGCCAGGCGGCCCGCATATCTGCAGGACTATGCTGTTTGATCCGTTTATAAGTGGACATTAATTAATCAGAGTGAAAATTTGTCAGGAAAAACTGTCACTTAATTATATTGTTTAATGTTACCTAATATGTTCAATCCAGTTGTATTTTGGACATCAATCATGCTACTTTCAGTTTCTTCAACAATAAGCAATTCTCCCATTAATAGGGTTTTAAACATAAGTTAAAGGACTTTGTAGGACACTTTCATGTAGTGTTTATTATTCCATTATAATTATTAGACATTGGTTGTCAATCCAATAAGAAGGTGAGAGATGTGATATTCAGTGTACAACTGTGTAGTCTTACGTTTCCCCGATAGGGGGCATTAAAGTGGTTCTTGTTCGCAACAACCATTAGTGTGATGCGTGTTTGTCTCCTTGAGATAATATTCAAACATTACAGTTCTGACCCGGAGGCCCGAGCCCACTAAGTTTTTGCTCGGGCCACCATCTCTACGAAACCACTCATCTCTTTTCCCCTCATATTACTGCTGCAAATACTACGGTTTATCGCCGAACGGGCAGTTAGACAGACCTTGTAACGACGAGTTGGGATGCGCAAACAGAGCCGTCCATCCTAAACGTAGACGCGATCCAAAAGCTCCCCTGACATTCCTAGGAGATTGAAACATATTTGACCAACTTATTTAAGTTACATGTATGGCTGAAATTTAAGCAAATGAATTATTAGTTAAATTCCTTCCTAATTTATGTTAAATACTGCTATAGAGAATTAAGCGGACCACCAATTTTGTGCAGGTCCACCAACTTTCTGAACGGTTGGTGGTCCACGCTGTCACTAGATTTTCAGCCAGAAATTTCGAACCCTGCGGTGCGGGCGACGACAAACCCGCTTGCCCGCATGGCCCGATGGCCAACCAAAATTCGCCCGGGCAAGTAGCTTGAAATTGCACTTGCCTGTTCGGGCAAGCAAGTTTTGTTTATTGAATGGCTAGACATAATGAGATTTGCTGATACTGGTGCTGAGTGCTGAATGCTGATGAATGATATTAGAGTCAGTGTATCAAAATTATGAAAATTTTAACAAAATCATGCTATGAAAAAGTAGCTATGGCCAAGCCTAAAATAGCTCCCGTAAAAAAAATTACGAGAGCTCTTTTTTCCATACAAAATCAAAAAAGAGCTCGTAAAAAAAAGAGTAATGTTTAGGCTGCCCAAGACTAGTGTAGTAGTAGTAGTACTATAATCTACCAATACAGCCTGTCATATTGCAGTTACAGATACAGGTGTTGAGTGGATGTTTGTAGAGTTCAGATTGCGGTCACAAACACCCCCATCTCAAGTCTGATATACTATATAATTACTGCCATAGATTCTAAAATGAGCTGCAGGCTACAAGATCATATATACTACCAAAAAGTGTGTAATGGCATGAACGCACTTGCAGTGGCGTTATGTCATCCTTTGCATACATACCAGTAGCATTATGTCGTAGAGAGTAATCTCATTTATTTCAATGCAGAAATGCAAATTTTCATCTGATCTGTTGTTCTAAGATGGTTTTATGCTGTTTTTATGACGTTAAAAAATTGACAGTAGATGGAATTGGGAGATCGAGAAATAGCATTATATATATATATATAATATATATATATATATATAATATAATATATGCTTATATCAATTTGTGTATATATATACAACAGCATATCTGCATTTTCTCCACAATTAGACATGCTTTGATAGGCTTGTGCATCCTAATTGAAGCTGTATTTTTAGCTCATCTGACGAAGTCCCCTGAGCTAAAAATCCCTATGGGGGATCGTGAAAAGGACTCGGGATGACAAATTTGGGGGGTCAAGGGTCAAAGGTCAAGATGTGTAAATGGAGGGGGAATATTCCCCCCTTAACTTAAAAGGTAAGAGGGAAAAGCGGCTCAACCTATGCTCTGAATATTCGGTGTATAGTGTGATGGGCAGAAAACCCATCAGCAGTGTGAAATTGGAGGTCACAGGTCAAAGGGCAGTGGGGGAAAGGTCAGATATCAGATATTTTCTGAGGACATGGCCTAATTAATGGACAGAGTGAAAAACTTTTTTGTTTCAGCGCTGACCTACCATTTTTATCACTTTATTGAAAGGACCATGAAATGTGCTTTCCGCTGACGTGCGAAGAGTAAGTGTCTAATAACCTTTTGACCCTCAAGAGGAGGGTTAAAGTGATTACGTCACCGTAAATAATAAAAAAAAAAAAAATCTACTTTTTCACAAAATATAAGTAAGTTCACTTTTTATGGTTAAATTGCTGCATTATACTTCTTATTTTACTATATTGTTCGATGTGAACATACACTCGTTACGCATACATAGCCTATAGCAAGCAATTAATGTCAGGAACACTAATATGAAATCGTCCAGGTTTTTTGGATTTTTAACTAGTTGAGAAACAAACTTATCAGGTAAGAATTTGACGAGTTGTAAGTTAGTAAAAATGGCAACAAAAATTTAACAAATTTTACCATAGAAAATTTGTGACGTAGTCAATTTAAACATGGATTTCTGAACTGCCTCAATGACGTGACAGTGTTGTGACTGTTGTCATATTCATGGAACATCCATAATCTAGAAACCCAATAAGCCTGGATAGCTGAATGCCTACAGCACAGGCGTCACGGCTCAAAGGTCGTTGGATCGAATCCCATCTGATTTTTTATTATTTACCTCTTTTCTGTATTTTTCTATCTTTATGCATTTAACTATTGTTTTCCAATTAACGCAAATATTTACATGATTTATTTACAACAATTTAATAACAACAAATAATTTTTACAATTAATAAAAAAAAAAAATAGGGTTAGGGTTAGGGTCACAATGCACCATAAAACAGGAGTTTTAGGCACGCGATTTGTATCAACCAATGGGATTTAGGAGATGCAGAATGCAGAAGGTTGCTGAAATGATGTGTACGCAACTGCGTATCTGCATATCTGCGCCTATAACAAAGGTGTCACTACGCACGACTTAAATGTTACGTTTATAACCGTAGCAAGATACCTCAGATGAGCCCAGACGCTCTGCGGCTCTTGTTAAAATTAATCTATATAGTTTTGGTGAAAGTTTTATCTCTATAGTTAAAAAGTAAAAGAAATAACACAAATCCTGTATCACCTCCTGTTTTGCTGCAAACTTGTGGTTGAGCGAAAGGCTATATTGGTAGAGTACGGTGAGTGCATTTATGGCTGGCACATGGAGAATTCAGCCATGTACTCTGGCTTGTATTTGTACTCTAGTAAGTAGTTGCTTAACATCAGCCCTTTTGTGCCTCATCTCTCCCGATACTTTTATACTCACAGGTATTGTAATTTCAAAGCAGTAGTATTTAGTAAAAACACCCTGAAAGCTTACAAGTACTGCAGTGAAATAAACCTAGCTATATTTATTTCTAATGACTTATTTCTCCAAATTTTTTAGGCACTTAATGTGAAGTTCAACCAACAGACCATCAAGCTATAATCATAAGAAGGTCTCTCATCACCGCCTGATATCTTGACAGGATGGGTGACATATCTGAGCTTGAATTGTGTTGCCAACAGCTTGCAACTAACAAGGTTTCAGAGAGAAAGGTAAAACTCATTTACATATAGTATGTATATATTTTTTTAACGAAATTTTTAATGAATATTTTTATGATAAGTCTTTATTAGTAACATCAATATACTGGTTTTTTGCTATTAAATAATATGTACCCTATAGTGATCGTATAAGTTTACATTTACCTTGTCTGTCATATGTCCAGAATGCCTTTGCACCCTGCAATAAATTGTCTAGGAATTTACAATTTCATAATTGTTCATCACCCAGAACAAATCTTTGGAAATTTGGAAATGATTTATCAAAAATTTCGTTACTCATTTTCAGCGATTAAAAGAAAGCATTACTGGTAATATGTTATTTATATAAATCTTTGTCATCTGTAGTTGCTTTTGTTATATATGCAGAAGCAAATAGAGATTTTACAAGAACTCCTGGGCAGCTCTCATCTGACCCAGCAGTTGGACATGAATAGCAGCAGTTCTGCCGAATCCAGAGTGTTTACCTGGGACTGTGTCTTCAGATCTGTTGCAGGATTAGTGGTCAAGGTAGGTAGGTGGTAGTCTGTGCATGCATGTGGGTACATTCCATATTACAGCTGAACTACTACAGTTAAGTTCAATTTATACTAAGTACCAAGTGATACGACTTAATTTATCAAGAAGAAATATTTATGATGAACGAATATATACGTTGGTAATTGCTCTCATGAATTTATTTCATGCTCACATGCTGCTGTTTGTCTTGAATACTGCTACTGATTAAATCTGCCCAGAATGCAGGAAACTATCATAATACCCATTGTGTCCAAAATTGATTGGTCTTGAACCAGGAGGCAGAACTGATGGAGCAGGCAGAGAACAAGGGAGGCAAGCTACCCACGTCAACATCTCTGAATTTAAGAGAGCGCAAGAAACGAGATTGCATGAGACTGCTGAAATCCGTCATCCGACTTGCGAACAAACGTATGCCTTGGGGCGATTTTTTTTGCTAATCTGTAGCTGTAGTTAATAACTGGCCTTATAATAATACTAATTAGCAATTATTTTCAAATATGACATTAACCCTCATTCATTAACAAGCAACAAGTAGCGAGGTTAACTCCTTTATATATGACACGTACGTGTTATCATGAACATATGCATATCTGTGATACACTGCTAACATGTTCCTGTCACCGTGGCCTCGTCCAGTTCTCTGCGAGCCAAGCACGCGCCTTTACCCGTCTGTCGATTTCGGTGTGAATTCTAACAACCCGCGCAGAGATGCGAAGACATGCATTTCTTGGGTGTTTGCGTTGCTTGCAGGTGCGCTACACCTGTCTACGAGTGCGCTGATGTGGCACATTGTCGACATGCTGGAGAACGACTTCACACATCAGATATTTGGCACCGACTACGGGAGCGTGCTCATGAAGGAAGTGCTGCCCAACAGAAAGCTATGCTGCGACGTGACGTCGAAAATTTGGAATCGTAAGTAAGACGGCTGTGATCTAGGCGGTAACGTATGGCATTTCATGTGAACAGTGTTGTCGATTCAGATACTGCAGTGGCAGCACTGTACCTCTGTGTAAAACAGTGTTGCTAATAGCTTCCTAGTTGATAGATATGCTGGTAGGACAGTATCAAAAGTGCAATTGTATTATATGTAAAATAATAAAAGATTTTGCGATAAATCAAAAATTTGTACTGAAGCGACAGTTTCTACAACAACTCTACTGTCTTTATTAAGCCGCACTGATCATTTGCTTTTAAGCTTGTCGCCAGAAGCCAGTTAGTAGGGGCGGGGGGGGGGGGGGAAGGCATTGCATTTTAGTGCAAAACCATGAGGCTAGTAGTTTCCTAGTTGGTAGAAGGGCTGATGAGACAGTATCAAATTGCAATTTTATTTTATGTAAAATAATAGTATTATCGAGATAAATTAAAAATTAACGTAATAAAATTCAAGGTAATACACGTGATTCGCCCGAGACCCCCCCCCCCCCCCGTTCTCTGCCATGATGCCGCGTCTGTCGTCTGCCAGGGCTGCTGCATGTCTACGTCCTGGAGCTGCAGGAGTGCGAGGACGGCAAGCGACGAGTGGATCGCGTCAGTGTCACCTCCCTCCTCTACACGATCATCGGCAAGGCGACCGAGCACTGCTCCGTGCACCAGGAGATCATTCCCGGTCTCTCTCACCCTCTGAAAAACCTCAGGTAGGTTCCTCCTTTTCTTGAAGTTGCCGGAAGAGTTCTCTCGTTGTGATACGGATGGAAATAGGAAAAATTCGCGATTACACGAACATGAGTAGTTGTATTTTTACCTGCACGTCTCGCGTGCGCGCATGACGATGGGTACGATGTGGAGTGAGCGTGGATTAATCAGCGGTCGTCGTTGCCTCGGCAGGCAGGAGCAAAACCAGGTCGTGGTGGAGCACTTGGTCTGCACTGCCAACATACTTTGCCGAGCGTTGGCTGCCGACTGCAGGCACATGATCTGCAAGATGGGAGAGGCCGTATTCAATAACATGCTCCACTACTTTACAGTACAGACCACGCCATTTCTCAAGGTAGTCGTTTACAAGGGCTGATAGCTCGATTCAGACTGCATTATTGGTTTTAACCTATATCTGACGTATTAACGGACGTTTGGATTTCATATCACCCCAATCGATTTACTAAGTACGTTTACGAGTAATAACGCATTAAGCAATTACTGTTTAAAGTCAGATGTAATAAAGCCGATGGATAATTTGTACGTATATTAGAAAAAATCTCCATGTACATCTACTGCTTTACGTCCTGAGTGATCTGCTGTATGTTTTACTATGTTTCAGGGCGAGCTCGTTGAGTTTTTTCACATCCAGATGGCAGCGCATCATCCTTGTGGTACAAAGTCTGGCGAGCCTGGTGCGCACGCTCACAATGCGGACACATGGGGGAGCCACCTTCGCAGACTTTACGAATCTCTCGACAATGAGTTGTATAAATACACCCAGCCAAGCAGGTTAGAACACGTAGATTACTAGATTGTAAACGCGATTTCGAGCTCATTGAAAGGTGACTCGATATGTAAAATTGACTACACTTACAGACTTATGTTTCGGCGACATCACGACGTGATAATTGTAGAAATCGTGCCGAAAACTAAAAGTAACTGAATGTTTCGTCGACGATCGGGGTCGATAACTATAATAATCTAATAATACTTAATAATGATGATAGTACATCAGTAATAATAGTAATTAAAAGTGTAATATAATAATAATAATAGAAACTAATAATACCTAAGAATTAATAATAATGTTAGTACCTAATAAGGTATTATTAGCAATCGATTGCGTCGAAAACTAAAAAAAAAATGACCGCTTATTTTCAGCGACATCGGGAAGTTGGACGAGCGGCTTGTGCATCTGTGCGCCGGCGTCTGGCGGCACGTGCTAACGGCGTTTCCCTCCACGATCGACGTGACGCAGTGCGAGCCGTCGTCGACGTTGATGGCGAGCGGCAGGCATAAGAAGCGTCGGCGCGTGGAGACGGGCTGGGACTCGATGCGCGAGCGCCTGGCGTCTCTGGGCGCGAGCGAGCGTGCCGTGCCGTGGCTGCGGCTGCTGCACGCCATCCTCGCGCGCCACCCCGCCGACCTGCCCGCGGCCGAGCTGCCGCCGCTGCTCGATGCACTGCAGCAGGCTCTCACCGCGTGCAAGGGGTGAGTGTGTCGCCCCCGGCGTGCAAGCGCGGGGTTGGTTTAATCGAGACTTTTTTTCGTCAGGGGGAAGAGCGGTCTGTCACTTTGGGTTTGGTCGGAGTCGTTAGGGGACCACGACAAGTTGGAGAGACCACGAACATTTTCTTCCTGGTTGGGTTATCAGACCGGCTTGCGTTTTAGTGACATTGTTGTATGTGGGACAAAGAAGAATACATATACACCATGGAGTTTATGGGGAGGGAACAGAGGCAAACACAAGGGTAGGGCCACAGGGGTTTATTGTTGCAGATGTCGTCCAATTAGAAGGGACTTCACAACTAATAGGGAGGGAAACCACAGTTCATGTAGTCAGTGCTCTGATGAAAATCGACTCCATTACAAGTAGTAGTTTGTGGATCTCTCATAATCTGATGTTTCGCAGTGTCATCGAATTCTGTATTACTCATCTCAAGTTACACGACTCTCTGTGTTTTGTGTTCTGTGGATCGGGGGTTGGCACTTCACGCAGTGTTGTGCAGTGTCTCGCGTTACTTACCCGACTCTGGTATGCTTTGGATTGCAAGCCAAGCATGCAGCAGTTTTGCACGTTATGCAGTGTTGCGCAGTGTTTCACGTTACCTATGCTGGCTTCACGTTGCAGCCCAAGCGTGAGCAGCTGGCTCTTCCAATGTCTGGCAGCGGTGGCTGGAGCGCAGGTGTCTCTTCGCTTGCAGCTGTCGGCGAAGCAGGAAGCCACGCTGGCGTTGGCGTGGAGACAGGTGTGGTTCGTCACGCTGCGCAGCGTTGCGGCGATCCACCGCGGCGAAGGCCTCGATCTGCTGTCCACGCTCATGCGTCACGCGCTCGTCACGCCCGACCACAAGCTCTTCCAGGTGCGTACGATCATCGCATTCAAACTGCGAGCGCGTCGGAAGTGGGATCGTTCTCGTTCAATCTCGCCGTACTGCACGACCTTCTCTTGCAGTCCCTCTCGCATCAAATTTACACCTTGTGTGTGAGAACTGGTAAAGGCGGGCCATGACGTATCTCAATTTTCTAGTAACAATAATGATAATGATGATGTTGCTACTGTTGCTGCTGCTGCTGCTGCTGATGGTGATGATAATGAGGACGATAATGATGATAATTTAAAATGTTAACGGTAATGATAATGATCGGAATGTTAATAATAGTAATTTAAACGTCAAGTTAGTTCAATGTCGTTATAATGGTTAAAGGTGCCCTGCCTCTAACTATCAAGCGGAAAACATAAAATCAGGCAATAATGAATTATTTTAACATTGCACGTTTGTAATTCCCTATATATGTGTGATAGGTAAAAAATAATTGCTCAGGAATACGTTCATTCAAAGCTTTTAGACTACAAAGTGAAAGTGTCGTGTCGAATGTTTCAAACAGCATTTATTTTTGCCGCTCTGCGGCGATGTTGTGACGCGTCTCTTGTTGCTATGCGGTGTTGCCAAGCGCTGAAGGTCATGAAGGCAGCATGCGTTACTTAGCATAGAAGTTAGCACTCTCAGCAAGTCAGCTCGCCACGACCATTTTAATTTTCAGGTTCAAGGATAGACAACATGGGATAGAGAACCTAACCTATCCCAATAAAACCAATGTCATTTACATCAATATAAATATAATAT